AGAAAAAAAGGATTCCCTCGCCCTGCCTCCCTTTGTCTGCTTTGTCCAAGGAGAAAGTGTCATTGAATGACATTTATTTTGCTTCTGCCTATGTAAGAAGATCCTTCGTGCTGGAGGAGCAGAAAGTGCTGAGGCAAGTAAATCCGAGGCACTTTCTCCAACATCGGATCACTTTCAGTTCTCCTTGTATTCACGTCACTGTGGACCTTGATGAATTCCCACTTCCCAAGACTGGAGGAGAAGGAGGTTGAAAAAAAGTTGAAATGCAGGAAGGGCACTGAAAAGCTCTATCCAGAGAGCTATCTTACTGCAAACAGTACAAGTGATACAAAGACCTGTAGAAGCCCAAAAGAGAAACCACAGGCCATTCAATGTCTGAGCTTGTACGTGGTGCCCAGGATGTGGTGTGAGATGTAAGTGCTACTGGAACAGTTGGGAACAGTGACCATAGTGCTATTAAATTAAATAAATATGTAAAATGTCAATTGCCAAGAACATGCAAGATGGTCATCACATTCAACTTCAAAAGGGGAAACTTCCCCAGAATGAAGGGATTGGTAAAAAGGAAGTCAAAAGGCAAAGTCGAGAGGGTCTAATCTTTCCAAAATGCTTTAAAAATACAATATTCCAAGCTCAGCTGGAGTGTATATGGAAGATCAGGGAATGTACCACTGGGGCCAGGGGGATGCCACTGTGGTTAACAAGAGGGTCAGAGAAGCTACTGCAGGCTTCAAAATAATGAGAACAAAAAGGAACACAAACTTTGCAAAGGAAAATGCACACAGACAAGAAAGTACAGTGGTACCTTGGGTTACAGATGCTTCAGGTTACAGATGCTTCAGGTTACAGACTCCGCTAACCCAGAAATAGTACCTCAGGTTAAGAACTTTGCTTCAGGATGAGAACAGAAATTGTGCAGCGGCGGCGCAGCGGCAGCAGGAGGCCCCATTAGCTAAAGTGGTGCTTCAGGTTAAGAACAGTTTCAGGTTAAGAACGGACCTCCGGAACGAATTAAGTTCTTAACCCGAGGTACCACAGTATGCTAAAAAGGAATTTGAGGTGCACATTGCTAAAAGCATAACGGCCACCTCCAGCAACATATTTAAATGCCTTAGTAGCAAGAGACCGTCTGGGGAAGCAGTTGGACCTTGATGACACGGGAATCAAAGATCTGCAAACAGAGGAAAAGAAGATTGCAGAGAAGCTGAATGAATTATTTCCCTTTATCTTCACAGCAGAAGATATAGGGCTGATTCCCGAGCCTGAATTAACTCTAGGAGAGAGTCTGAGGAATTGAAGGAAATAGTTGTGACAAAGTTCTAGGCCTTATTGACGAAATAAAAACTGACAAATCACCAGACCTCAATGGCATTTATCCAAGAGTTGTGGGTGGGAATTGTGAAATAGTTAATCTTCTAACAAAAATATGTAACTTGTCCATAACTTGCCCATAACTTGATCCAGCGGAGTTCTAGAAATTGCAGGCTGGCTAGCTTAACCTGTTTCCTGGAAAAACTGGTGAAAGGTATTGCTAAAGATACAGTAACCAAACATACAGAAGAACAAGCCTAGTTGAAAAGAGGGAATGTTTTTCTTCACCACCACTCTGCCCCCAGCGTGGCTGGAGATAATGTCACCCAGGTGTCTCTTTGTGTAAAAACTAAAAATAGACAAGTAAGTTGGGAAGTCATATAGAGTCAGAAAGCGAACCACAACTAATACTGGGCAGATCAACAACAAATATTTAATGCACATACAGTGCACATTATAGCACATGGCTTCCCCCAAAGAATCCTGGGAACTGTAGTTTGATAAAGTTGCTGGAAATTGTGACTCAGAGAAGGAAACTGCAGCCAAAGCACCATTCAAGCAACAGTAATATATTTGAACTTTGCTTCTGGCATGATGTTAATCTCTACATTTCTGGAGAAAGGCCCTTTGTGTTAAATTGACCCCTTCTAGACCACTCACTTTTCTACCATTTTTGCTTTAGGTATTTTTAAACTAAAAGCCTTTAGTAAGCAACATACCATTGTGCTGATGTTCACCCGAGCGAAAGCAAAATCACTTCTTTTCATAAGTAAGTATCTCCTTAGTGCCTCTGGCAGGAGGTTAGTAAATAGTCTTCTTCCAGATAGATCTCGGTTTTCCCCAATACAAACTGAAAAGCAGAATCAAACCTGAGCTGACATAATAAGTGCAAGTTGATTTATAGTGTGCATCGTCTATTGTGCATCTTAAGGAAGTACTAAGCTTTAATGCCTCTGGTGGAGCATGTCTGCAGCTGCCCAGGATTTTCGCCACCTCAAGGTTTTTCAACATGCAATTATTAACCCATTAGGTTCTGATCAAGAGAAATCACTTGCGTGCAGAAAGCCTGTCTTTGATTTTTGATGCTGGCTTCGCAGGCTGCTCTATCCATTGTGGCAGCAACTCAAAACAACAACATACTCAGTTCTCTGGGTGCTGATCCTTATGTAGCTAAAACAACACCATCTGCACCCAAGGAAGAAGTATCAGCAAGTTAAGGGAAGCAATCCCCCTGCAATGTAAGAATATTCAGCTGTCCCTTACGGGGATTGAACCTGCAATCTTGGCCAATAATTTACAGCCTGAGAAATAAAATCCAACTGCTCCTCTTTAATATTTTCTTTCTCAATTTTGAAAGAAATAATATTCTTCACTTGGTATCACAATAGACTGGGAATCAAAATTGCTTCAATGTCATAGGAAATATTCTTTATTCCATATCATAATAGAATGAGAAGCAAGAAGTTCAATACCCTTTTGCCCTGTGGAATATTTGGGTATACGTTGTACATATACCTCAGCTGAGCATTGTCTACTTCAGTAGCCTGTCGTTCTTCAAATTATTACTAGAAAAGCCCTAATTTTGCCGTTGGGAGGGGGTGGGGAATAACACCTCATTTTTAAACAGACAAACTGGGAGTGGGAATTGTTTAAAAGTCAAATTTGATGCAGGTTCCAGGGCCTCTGTGACATGTATGCATGGCATGCCTCTCAGAAGAACTGAGTTTTCTTTGTTTTCTGTTCCAACATGCAATTAATGGCAAGTATTAATCTGCAATTAAAGCTATCTTTGATTAATCTAATGATTAACTATATTAATGTATCCAGTACTAGCTGAAATCAAAGCTCTTAAGTCCATAGTTAAGGATGAAAGATTGCTTAATTTACTTCACAGTTGCTGCATCTTTAGGGTATAATTTGGAATTCAATGTTGCTTTTTCATATGTAAACTTATAGTGTGATCCTATACATATCTAGTTGGAAGTAAGCCACACTTAATTCAGTGTGACTCATTCCTAGGTAAGTATATTGCTGCCTTAAATTCCATAAATGTATATTTCATATATCCTGCTATAATACAAGTCAACTACTTTCAATTGTAATATAACTTCAGATTTTGCCACAGAACTACTTCAAGGGCTATCCTATTTCATGGTTATTCCAGCAGTGCTTTCAACATTCCTGTTACATGTTGAAATTCAGAATCAAGACCCCAGTTCATCAATTTGCAGTCACACACCCCTGATAAATATTTCTCTCCCTCTCCTTCTCTCTACCCCCCCCCCGTGTGTGCATATGCCTTCTTCATGCCAATATATTGCAGAAGGACTTTAGATAAAGCTTATACAGCTCCAAATCTCTCTCTTTCTTGGCATTTTTTTCGAAACTGGCAATTTTCTAATTTTGCTAATCCCCATTATTGTTCTTATATTTTTTTACTCTGAATGTTGAATTCAGTTTGCTTCTCTGTAGCAAACGACTAACCTGGAGCTGGAACTCTTTGCTAGCTAGTCATAAACTGTACAAAATATAAAGATAATCCCCCAGTTCCATTTCCCACCCACTCACCCTTATCAAATCAATTAAGTATACTTACCTATGACTCAATCAGTGACTCATCCTTCAAAGAGATGTGCTGCAGACATTGACAAAGGGATTGATTTGCATGCGGGTAGTAACCGCACAACCTTTTCCTGCCTTCCTGCCTTATGTCATCTTCCCAAGCCTTGATACTCTCCTATTACTCTTGGCGATTCAGTCATTCTCTTTCATTTTAGTTTTGCCCTTCACTGGTTTTAGCATGTACTATATGTACAGGAAACACACATTTGCCTCCTTGAATTGTTGATTCAGGATTGGGGGTTTTTAAGCAATATGAAGCAATGTTTAGTAAGAATGTAATATTGTGTGTGTGTATCAGATTTACACTAGATAAATATTGAAATGCTACACACACACACAAAAATATCTGCGCGTGGTGAGCATGTGTTCATAGAAAGCACAAGAGATGTATCACTTTTAGTTACCTAGCAATGTCAGTATTTTTTTCTCCAGCTGCAACAGCCAAGAGCTTTCCCCTTAAGCTACGTCTGTTGGATATAGAAATATATCTTGCATCCTAGTGGAAGTGGCCGTGTTAATCCTCCTATAAATGTTTACTTCAAAGTAAATCCTGCTTTGTATCCAAATAGGTGCTGGCTTGCTTTACAGTGCAGTCCTATATATGTCTTCTCAGAAGCCCCACTGAGTTCCATGGGCTTACTCCCAGGTAATGCAACCATACTCAACTAAATGGGGTCATTCTGTAGAGCTGCAATCCTAATCAGATTACTGTAATTAGGTAGGAAGCTGCCTTAGACAAAGCTTTACTTCCTAGGAAGCATGCATTGGGTTCCTGTAATAGTCCTGCCTGATCAGTTGCAAAATATTGTATGTTCTTGTAGAAACCTGTCAAGGCCCATTTGAAAAGCTACTTTCTGCTGTCATGCATCCTGAACAGCCATATGTACAGAAATCTATTTGTAATCAGGGTGTCTGTAATTATATAATTTAGTCACTAGGTGGCACTTGACTTAGTTGTATCTTGTCCAGTTATCCCTGTTGTTTTTCTGAGACAACCACCTCCTGGTTGGGCTTCCTGACAGGTGTGTTTCCTAAACCTGAGATGAGGGACTTGTGACTATCCAGATGTTATCCCATCAGTCTCAGACAACAAGGTAGGTGGTCGGGGAATGTCCAACAGCAACTGGAAGACCAGACATGCTGAATGTCTCCTCATATTAGTCTTTGGTTTCGCAATCCAGATGCAGTTCTCTACTGATTTGTGTGACAACTTCATTTTGGATAATGAATTCATACTGAAATGGTTTCATTCTGGCTCCATCTTGGGAGATGAAAATGTGCCACTCCTTTTAGTAAAGGTAAAGGTAAAGGTACCCCTGCCCGTACGGGCCAGTCGTGTCCGACTCTAGGGTTGTGCGCCCATCTCACTTAAGAGGCCGGGGGCCAGCGCTGTCCGGAGACACTTCCGGGTCATGTGGCCAGCGTGACAAAGCTGCATCTGGCGAGCCAGCACCAGCGCAGCACACGGAAACGCCGTTTACCTTCCCGCTATAAAGCGATACCTATTTATCTACTTGCACTTTGACATGCTTTCGAACTGCTAGGTGGGCAGGAGCTGGGACCGAAAGACGGGAGCTCACCCCGCCGCAGGGATTCGAACCGCCGACCATGCGATCGGCAAGTCCTAGGCGCTGAGGTTTTACCCACAGCGCCACCCGCGTCCCCGCCACTCCTTTTACTGTCCTTTAAATTTTGAATCCCATTTCATTACCTTTTAAATTTGTATTCTTATAGAATTGGCTGACAAAAAAACCCAACTGAAGGCTGATACCAACGCAGGTTCTCTAGAAAATCAGTAGCCCTCTGCAGTGGTTAAGGCTAGATGGCCTGACTTTCCAATCTCATTACACAAAAGCTGCTTCTGAATGGCAATGATCTGCGAATTGCATCAGCTAAAGCTGCCATTTCAGCCTGACTTTCTCAAACCAAAACAGAAAGCAGCAGGGGAGGTAAATCTGACAGGTCGCATTTGGTGTCACTTGAGTGAAAAGATTAATATTAATGGTGGAGAAATATCAAATTAGCCAGTCAGGCCTCTTTTTTGTACTGGCTGGTGTGTTGAGGGCCATTCTTTCTCCTGAGAACAATGAGGCTCAGGTGGCTGAGAAACCTGTCATGACTTCAGACAAAACCCGAACAAAATAACCCAGAAATTGTTGGCACTTGCATTTTTATACATTTTTGTTGCGCTCCTAGTATCTCCCCTTTGAAGAGAGAATCCTATCTCTGAGTAGCTGGCCATTCATCCAGCCAATTCCATCTGGAGTGATCTTTCCTTTTTAATTGAACAGATTTCTCACCCAGATTGGGTCGCCGCTTGACAGACAGCTTTATGGGGCTGTCTATAAACTGACTTCAATACAGTTTTTTAAATAGATATTCAAATGAAGCCTATTTCCCATTCATTTTTTTAAAACTCCCTTTCTAAAGCTTCTAAGTCACCCCATGGGGAGCTGGGCTCAAGGACAGTCTCTGCAATGGAAGAAAAGTATTGTGCCTTTCTCTTTAGTATGCATCTTTGGGGATATGTATATTATTTGTTGTGGCAGTGGCTTATGGAGGGATTGTCTCCCTCCTGCACCCACTTCACCCCACCCCTCCACTTATTCCATTTTGTTTGCTTTTGCCTTTTCTGCTCATTCTTAATTTGGTTACACGCATCCTGCAACCTCTGCATTTTAATTGTTTGACTCTCCAATGGATCTATCACTAGTGGTCTCCTCAGTGATATTCAGAAGAGGTTTCTTTTATTGTTCACACACACACACACACACACACACACACACACCATGAATGTAGCATTTCACAGGATTTGCTAAACTGGATTAGCCTATAAACCCATTGATCCTACTGCCCAGCCTCCACAACTGTTTCTCTAGGGGAAATGGAATAGTTTCCACAATCACCACACCAGATGGTTTCTACTCAAGCAGCTCTGTAAAGGTGGTCAGATGCATTGGCCAATGTAAGTGTTGTCAGATATGGAGCTAAAGCATACTTTAATGCTGAATCCTACAAGGAGTAAGCCCCACTGGACGCAGGGGTTGGGGCCATAGCTCAGTAGCAGAGCACCTGCTTTATGTGCAGAAGTTCCCAGGTTCAAGAATGGAAAAACAAATTGTGGCATTTTTAATAAAAAGCTGGGGTTGTTTATACAGTCCCTATATATTTGTCTTAAATACCAAATGATAAATAAAGGGACTGAAAATGTGCCAACTTATTTTTCTGATTCCAAAAGAAAGAAAACCAAATTCAACCGTAAATTATAAGCCCTGTTAGTACTGCTTAACACCAATACTTCATTTCCACTCACGTCTCTCCAACGTGCATGCCTCATTGCTCAGCTATTGATTTTCATTTCCCACACGCAACTTAAATACTCACCATAAAAACTGGGCATAGCACTTTAAACAATTGCTTATCAACAATGTATTGGCATTCCTTCCTTTTTGTTCAATAAGATGCAACTGGAACAAAATAAGCAGCACAAAATATATGGTAATCGGCAGAGAAGTTAATGCCCAATTCCTTTCTGTTCTTGCCACAGTTGCATTAGTTGCTATACAGATAATAAATAGGTATGGTTGAATAGAAAATCCCATCATTGATGACAAGAATGTTGGCGCTTTTCAGAGAGTGATGAAATGAGTGTTGAATAGTCTGAACATCATATGTTCCTAGATAGTGGAAACTACTAAGTTGCTTATGAAGTTCCCTTTGTGCTGTAACTTATGATGCGTTATTGGTTCCTAGGATGGTTCCTATTTATTTTCCTATATTTCTGAATTATATATATATATATTTGCAGCAATATATTCTACATTCTCAGAACCCCAATTGAAATGGATCTAGAAAATTGTTTTCATCCAAGGGAGCCTGGATTGTATATTCCACACACTGGCCAGAGTTTCAACAGAAGTGCCAGTCATAATAGCTGAAATATCCCCCAGGGTCATCTGGAAACCAGTTGAATCCATCAGCCTCTGAGAGTGGACCACCTTAATAGGTCCCCTGCTTCTGCAGAGGGAAACTGCTGAAAGCCTAAAATTCAACAGGTGATTTGACCATGACAAGGGACTGATGTTAATATCCTCCACTTTCAGATCACATTTATTCCTGCCCAGTCAAGAAAACCAGGGTGCCACATCAGGCCAATGGCATCTTAGGACAGCTGTATGGTTGTCATGGTGGCCATGAAGTCCTGAGGTGTCCCAGAGGTAATATTACCTCCTGGACAAAATTATATTTATTTTACTTTAGCACTCATCATCCAGAGGAACCATCTATTCTCTGATAATTTATACGATGTTAGACACAAGCTATAGTGGATTGCCATAAGTGCAGCTGGCTGGGCCTGGGATCCCGCAAACAAATTGTCAGCAATGTGCTGGATAGAATTGCATTCTGTGTTCCATCTGTGCTGTGGGCCAGGTCCAACCCTGCCCTACCTAGTTTCCTTTCCTCACTATGGAAAATGTGAATGTGAGCAGAGTGTGATGTTGACACTTTTTTGCATGGGTTTAAATATTTCTTTTTTAAACCTCTAGAGTGCTTTGGATTCCTAGGCCACAATCCTAAACTATTAGATTGTTGGTTACAGTGGGCTTAGGCGTGCCTTGTTCTGCACAGAATGGGAATCCAAGTGTTTACCATTATGCAAAGGGTCATGTTGCACAATTCCATTATTAACATAATGGAACTAGGGTGGCATTCTAAGCATCTGGGGTGCTATTTGTACAATTAACACCTATTAAATCAATCCATGGTGAGCATCTGTTTGTACAAATTATCACATGGAGGCAGGAAACAAAATGGACAGCACAGTCTTTGGAAAGGGTGTGTAAATGTGGTGTGTCCCACAGCTATAAGAGTGTCTCTTCAGTCCTTTACACTACCTGGAAAGTTCACTGGGGCTCCCCACTCTGTAATGGGTAAAGGTATGTGTCTCATGGAAGTCAAGCAGGGTATAGTATCCTATTGAAATCAGTGTTTACTTTTCAGTGACCTCGTCGCCTTTTCAGTGACCTCGTCGCCTCGTCGCTGTCTATCTGTTGCCTATTGCTTACTAACTTCCTGGAACGGGAATTTGGGTTTTCTAGCTTAGTAAGCCCACTCTGGGTGTATTTGAACGCTTCTACATATCTTCCAAAACTTCTGTGTGCATATTATTGTTACCATTATTTACATAGGAATCTGCTTTATATTGAGTCAGACTGTTGGTCCATCTAGCTCAGCACTGACTGGCAACAGCCCTCCAGGGTTTCAGCTAGGCAGGGGTCTCCTTCCTGGTCCTATCTGGTACTCTGCCCCGATCACTCCTCTTCCCCAGCTCTGCTCTGCAATCTGGTCAAGTGCTTTTACCTGGCTGGGATGTGCCTTTCAATTGTAATGCCTCTTGCTTGTCTGGAAAGAGGGTGTGTGTGTAGAAACCTCTGCCTGTTGCATAACTGGAATGTGGCCTACTGTGCAATGATTAAAAGGCACAGCTCTTGGTCAAATGCGCTCATTGAAAATGTTCCCCATGCCTGCCTTAGGAGAAGAAAACTTCATCTGTTATGCCTGTTTAATGGCCAAGTGATGAGACCTTCTACATATCAGCTGGGCGGAATTCCGCATGGAGTGGAACTGCAATTTACCTCCCTCTTTCCACACTACTAGTGTACAAGGAGGTTGTGCACCACCTCTGGTGTTGGTGGTGGCATGCCTCTGAATGCCAGTTGCTGGCGATTGCTGCTACACTCATAACCTGCTTATGGGCTTCCCATAGGTGTCTGATGGTCACTGAGAACAGGATGTCTGGACTAGGTGGGCCTTTGGTCAGATTCAGCAGGGCTCTTCTTATATTCTTAGTCCTGCCATCTCCCAGTAGGGCTAGGAAAACCTGGAGAGCTAAATTAATAGCCTCGTTTAGCAGATTCCTGTGTTTCTATGAAAATTGCTTAAATAAACAGAAAGCACAGATCTGCAAGAATGTTGTGAATCACAGAAGAAAGCTATGTGGCTTGGGCCACTTCCAAGGATACAGAATAGAGTTATGACCACTGTCTTTCCCAATCGGGTGTCTGGAGGCACACAGCCAACCACAGGTCAGGCAACTGCAGACATGTCTCTTCCATTTAAATGTGTTCCTTCCTGGGACATACTATGTACAAATACCCAGCAGACACACTGGTCACAGCCTTCCCCCTTTCTGGGGGGACGCAGGGGGATGCATACCCCTAAACATTTTGTGAATCTAAGTTTGGCCTCATTGCGGGGCGGTATTTCAATATGAGTAGGATAATGAGAGTACCCCTAAACATTTTTTTTCCAGAAAAAAGCACTGCAAATACTTTTTAAAATACTGTACTATGTGAAGTCACACATTAGTTTGAAGATTGTGGCTTGAGCAAGTCTTCTAAAGGTCAGCAACTTATCTGGCTCTGCAAAACTGATGTAGGATAGATATCCTAACATTTTATTTAAAATGCAGTGTCTCTTCCAGCAAACATGGAAATTCTCAGATAAGACAGGTTATTTACACTCAGTACTTAACAGCACTCAAAGGGACGCGGGTGGCGCTGTGGGTAAAACCTCAGTGCCTAGGACTTGCTGATCGTATGGTCGGCGGTTCGAATCCCCGCGGCGGGGTGAGCTCCCGTCGTTCGGTCCCTGCTCCTGCCAACCTAGCAGTTCAAAAGCACTCTTAAGTGCAAGTAGATAAATAGGGACCGCTTTATAGCAGGAAGGTAAACGGCGTTTCCGTGTGCTGCGCTGGTGCTGGCTCGCCAGCTGCAGCTTCGTCACGTTGGCCACGTGACCCGGAAGTGTCTTCGGACGGCGCCGGCTCACGGCCTATAGAGCGAGATGAGCACGCAACCCCAGAGTTGGACACGACTGGCCCGTACGGGCAGGGGTACCTTTACCTTTACCTTTTACTTAACAGCACTCAGTAAGTATATGATGACTTTCATAAGTAGATCTCCTAGAGATTAGTGTAAGTGCTAATCCTCCTGAGTAGATGCCCATTAACAGGGCAAATTTTCGCCCACCTGACAGCAGGTTGTGATATCAGTGGTCTCTTTTTGTGTGTGCCTTCTTAGGTTTTGTGAAGTGCAAGCAAAGTGGAGACACAGATGATTTTCACGGCTCAGTGCTGACTTGCTCCTGCAAACTGCAGCATGCGGTTTTGCTCTTTTGATATGTGTTCTCACAATTTGTACCAGAAAAACGCCACAGTTTCCTGCCAACAGCATCACAACAGAACATGCTTCAGAGGAAGTTAGTAAGGCAAGTAAGGTGCAGCTTTAATTTCAAGGTATTTGATTCAGATTTTTCTTCTCTCTTTTCTCTGCTTGTTACAACTCTAGCTCTCACGAACGTTGACGAGCACCTTGACTACAGAGTTACAAAGGCTATGGATCAAAAGTTATATTGGTGACAAAGTGCAAAGCAGCCCCCTCCTGCCCTGCACAGGGTTCAGAATGTACAGTTGTATTTTTAGGTGGCCAGCTATCATATTTTACAGAAGGCACTCCTCTGTTCTGGAGGGCTATCAGAGGACAGTCCTCTGTTTCAAGGGGTCCTCTGCTCAAAGGGCTGTCTGGTCCAAGTCCGGTTTAATGATAAAATACCAGAAGATAAAGGTTGGGCTTTGGCGTTGCAGCAGACACACTGGTCACAGCCTTTCCCATTAAAGTGAGACGGATTGCATTTCTATTTTAATTATAATAATCATTCCTAAATTGGCATCTGTACCCACAAATCACCACATGCCAGTTTTCTGCAAACCAGTATCCTCTTTCATCCCCTTTCATTTTATTTTTTGGGGCCACCCTGCTTGCATTCGGTTTGTACATTTTAAAACATTGGATAAGCAAACCGAGCCTTTTGTCCCCCAATGCTAAGGCCTGGTGGTCTGCATATGTATCTGAGTGAAGCGATGCAGTCCTGAGGTAGTAAACTGAACTTTGTTACTTCAGTCTTCAGGTGGGCATTACATTTTCAATGCCCCCCTACTATAAAAACTCCCTGAAAACTAGAATGATATATTAAAAAAATTACCTTCAACTGGAACAACAGCGAGGGCTAGTAACCTGCCTCTAGTTTTATTCTTGCAGGGGCCAATTTACATTTGGGGACATTAAAAGCCTTTGTGGTGCCTTAAGGGAGTTCATTCCACCACCTCAGGATTCGACTACCTCATGCTGCTGCACACACATTAACCAGGCATTTCCCCCCTCAAAGTGGTGGCGATAATTATTTATGTCTCCTAATGAGGCCTTTATGCACTACTGGAGTACAACCTTCTCCTAACCTTAGTCATAAAACAGCTCATTTAGTATGAAGGAAATTATATTTGTAGCTTTTGCTTAATGGTAATGGTTTCCTGACTTTGTAACAGGAAATAGGGTGGAGGGCGAAAGCAAAGCAGATCCACCGCCTGACCAGTTCAGATAACCTGTTCCCCACACATTGAATTATGGTGCTCTGCAGGGAGACGCTCTCAATAGAAACCCATTTAGAGGCAGGTCTCTCAACCGTTGCAGTTCGATCTCATAAACGCACTTAGGTTGTGACCATATTTCAAAAAAGCCCCCAAAGGCTGAGCAACAATAAAAGAATGTTGTTGTTGTTTTCATGAAGGAAGAGGAAATGCTATGAGAAAAGTTGAGTTACTGGGCTGCTGTTTCACTGGCAACGTGGAAAGGGGGGGGAGGGGGGCAGGCAAGAGTGAGGAGTGAAGTCTGTTTTCATTGGCTTTTGAAAAAACACAAGGCCCTGAAGGTTTTACTCAGCTCCACTCTGAAACTTTGAATGCCTGCATGTCTTTGTACATTGCTGCTCCTTCCTTCATAAGCAAGTGCTGGATTTGATGCTATCTAGATATCATAAATCCAGGTGAAGAAGCCAAGGTTTGTAATTTACTGCTAGGAACCTCCACGTGTCCCAGCAATACCCATTTCGAGCCTCATCTTGATCAGCTTCTCGGTTTTCTGTTTCATGTTGCAAGACTGCCTTTATGTGCATAAGAAGAAGTGCTTGGAGTGGCGTTGGTGCGTTGTAATGCATCAGTGAAGCAAATCTGGTCCCAAATTTTTGTGACATCAGGGTGGCTCTTTTTGCAATGGCTCTGCGAAAAGTTAAGATCTGAGTCTGAAACCTCTAACATCGGTTGTAAGGGAGACATTAGAATCTGAATTTTCTGCTCCCAATACATATTGTTTTATGGTCTGTGAACCATTGCCTTCCTGATGTGCAATGAAGTAAATGTCAGTCAAGAAGTAATGTGATTGCAGACTTCAGTCTCACCCAATATATTTTGATGCTTTACCTTAGCTAATGTTATGTCATTTGTGTATTCTAATTTGTTGATTTATAGTTTTGATCACTTTTAGTTATTGTTATTATTTATTAAATTTCTGTACTCCCCTTCATCCGTGGATCACAGGGTGGTTTACATTAAAACCCCAAAATGCATAACATAGTAACAATCTAAATAATACCACCCCCACAGTTTAAAAGACCATTGATTGTTTAATTAGTCAAAGGTCTGGGAGAAGAGGAATGTTGTTGTCTGGTGTCTAGAGATATGTACTGATAGTTAATTTTATGTAATTTGTCTGTTCTAACTTGTGTACTGTACTCTACTCTGGCATCTAGTATGATGAAGGGCAGGCTATAAATGTGCTCCATAAATAATAGAATGATAGAGGTACAGATGCCACAGTTAGTTTGATTTTGAGAATATCATATGACAGCACTAATCCTCACAAAAAGCAATGAGTCCACATTGAAAACTGCCATGGAATTCATGCAGACTGGTCCTGCAATGAATTTTATTCCTAAATACAAAACAATAGTTTAAATCATCCATAGTTCTGGATCTGGTGCAATGCAGGGATCCAAAGAGATCCCTAATAGTTTGTGAGAGGACTCAGAAACACCCTATAATAATCTTGTGGCAGATGCCTCCCTAATTGGAACTAATTTCCATTTCTGAGATAACACTGAGAGGGGAAAATACAGCCCCTGGGTAATACGCTGATGCAGTTCAGAAAATTGTAAGCTCTTCAGTCACTGAACTGGAAATGCAAGCTTGATCAAAAGACCAAGAAAATGAACCGTGCTTCAAGAAGTAGCTTTGATAGGTCCAGAAAGAGCATTTTCAATCATCACACTTGGCTTTTGGAGACACACTGTTGAATCCAGAGAAGTCCAAATGCATAACGGTGCTTTTCCACCTCTTCTCTCAGAACCACTGCAAGATATTTCACTGCCTGAGACAAGGTGCTCCAGCTGCTACCTTTCTATGGACTGACCTGCTCCTTTTCTTCCTCTTCATGCTGCTTGCTTCCGAGGCCAACTCACCCATATTTTGCTCTGAAGAACAGGGTTCAGAATTCTAAGGGCCAACCCAACACGTGGGTTCCCATTCCACACACAGAAGCCAGCTGGCAGCTGGATGTTACTTTAGTTGCATTCACACATCAGTTTATTCCATTTCCTGGAGTTTCCCTAATTATTAATTTTCACATTATATTTGAGCTTTTGCACAACTTCAGAGCCACTTCTAAAAATACAGCAGAATATAGTGAAAGTTTAGCTTCATACATGACATGGGTCGATGACTCACAGCTCTATTTTAACATCTGAATCAGGTGTGACAATGCAGGTTCCTGACCAGTGTCTGAACACAATAGTGGGCTGGATTAGGGCCAGTAAGATGAGTTTAAATCCAGGCAAGATGAAAGCTGTCATGAGCCCCAAGGAGAGGTCATGGAGGAGATGGATGGATCCTGAGGATTCAGAGGAGCTTAGAGAGCTCTGATGGGATGGGGGAGGTGCAATCAGGGCCATAATAAGTGCAGGGGTCCAGCAGTTTGGGGCATAGAGATATGGATCCGGGGGGACGGGCTGAGCAGGAGCATCCCATTCCATGATATCAAACACCTCTCCCTCAACACCTCCTGCTATGGAGCTGCTTCCAGCACCTCTTCCCATTTAAGTGTGACTCCACTTCCATCTCCAGAGATGCTGAGGGAGCTGCAATGGCTAACAATAGGCACAGTTCAGGGTTTTGCTTTCATCATTTGAAACCCTAAATAAGTTGGGAGAAAGTTACCTAAGGGCTGCCTTGTGCCTAGCAACTGCGCGCCTCAGATGGGACATGCTGCACAGGGGCACTTAGTATGTACTAGAAACTGGGCTTTTAATGTTGCAGTTCCAGCCCTCTGGAAGTAGATACTAACTGAAATTAGAGAAGTGCCTAGCATTTTAATATTTAGTAAATGACCATTGGCATGGTCTGTGATAAATGTCTATTGGAGACATTTTTGTTTACGAAACCTTTCCCTGAAATGCGAGTCAGTCATTTCATGGAATAATAATTGCACAAATGTAAAAATGGTTTCATTGCCTTTAGTTTACAGAATTTGAAACTTTTTGTCATCTTTTGCATGCTCCCTACATGCTCCCCACCACATACCTTTTTGTGCAAAGCTCCTGATCACAAGGTGAAGCTCTGTCGATCATCCAGTGTAAAAGGCCCTAAAGCTTCTCGCTCTGCTGCCTTTAGTTCTTTTAGCAGCAGCGGAAACAACAGTTCCAGGTCAGGTCAGGTCAGACTTTTATTGCTTATACCAAAAACCTCTGCAGAAATTCAAACAGGCTCAAAGGGACCAAAAACACCACATTTGAAAATATAAATACTGAAAATACTGTGTACAAAAAACGCAGTCAGGATCAAGGACAAACAACTACAAACAACAAAACAAGGGCTAAAAAAGTATTAAAATGAATAAACAAATTATCATCAAATCAGGCATCACCATAACTATTTATAGCTGTCTGTGAAACTATATTTGCATGGATCCTTGCAAAAGCTGGTGAAAAAGAGATACTCTATACAAAACAAAACATCAGTATCTGACAATAGAATCTGAATGGCCCAGGAGTAATATTTTTTGAACTGATGGAGAAGTCCTATTTTCCAAAAACGTCTCTACTGCTGTTTCAGAAATAATTTTCAGAGTACTGTACCCATTGCAGTAGCAATTTAAAAAAGGACTATTGTTTTCAATACACACACGTCAAGAAAACATATTTGGCAAAACACATGGCATTTGCTCTCTACATTAGCTCTATATATGCTAATTGAGAAGGCTATATACATTTCCCTTCATGTAAACTCTGGACAGAATAGGCAGTCTTCATTTTTAAGTCCTCTTCTATATGAAATTGAATAGCAATAAAAAATTAATGACAAAAAGAAGAGTAGGGGGCGGACCTTTGGCTCCCCAGATGTTGTTGAACTACAACTCCCATCAGCTCCAGCAAACATGGCCAATGGCCATGGATGATGGTACTATTTCAGCAACCAGGGGCAGACTTTGGTCTTTCATATTTCAGCAGTGCCCTGTGCGAGCCCAAAATTTGGAGCTCCCTGCCTCTGCTCTTCCTTTCTGCTAAATTCATTACGTCATTGTTGCAACACCCTACAGTGCCTCGGTGGCCAGTGTGGCGGAATTGGCTCCACTGCCCTAAATCTGCCTCTGCAGCAATGTCTGGAGGGCCAAAGGTTCCCCATACCTGCAGTAGGGTAGTAACTAACTAGGCATGCTTACTTAAAGGAAAAATAGAAAAGTCAGTGGCAAAAGGAATACGGGAAAGTGAATGCATTCCATAATTTTGAAGGCATTGTAGGATTGGACCAAGCAAGGATGCCCTTCTTAATTTCCTATTTTTTTTAAAAAAAAATCAAGTAGGAAGCATATTGTCCATGGGATCTGTAGGTTTACGTGCAGAGGGCACTATTTTGCAGAAACTGCACATGTGTAGAAGCACAGTATTGACCAATCATACTTAATTTAGCCATTAATGCTATCAAAATGATGCAGGGCTTCGAAGCTCAAGTGTACTCAATGGCATGAAGACTCTTATAATCACTTCTTGCCAGATATCACTATATGACATGGATTTCTATTTTGTCTCTTTAAAAAATGCTACTTCTTCACTGATAGACAAAAGTGTGATCTACATATCCGACGCTGTTTGTAACTCTCAAAAAGTGCTTTGTGACTCTTGAAAAGTGCTGTGTGGTCATTCAGAAATGCTATATCCAATTAGACATGTGTGTGTTGTTTGTATATGTGTGGGATGGGGTTTCTTTTTAGACTCTGTCAATCTGCATGTTAAAAGTTGGTTGATAAAAACTTGGAATATTCTAGCTTTTTTGAAATTTACTATATTAACTGCAGGCAAGGTAGAATCAGATTTGTAAATTTCCCTAATACTTTTCAATACTCTTATTTAAACTATTTGGTTAACTGATGATGCTACTCTTGTTGTTATCCTCTCTCCAATTAGCTGTTTAAAGAATCTGATCCCCACCCCAGCCAAAATTGTAAAGGTAGAGATAATAATGGGTACCTGCCAACTGCGGACCTTCTTTAGGCAGAAATCTAGTGCATTCAGCATGGCCCTGATCCAGACGAACAATTCTGACCCATCCAGCAGTTTTAGATTTTCCATTTAAAGTGATTTTGTTCAAATTGTTCAGTAAGGTCTTTGACGCATGTGTGATTTCCCTTATCTAAGTGAGCTTTGTATTAATTGCGGGTGTTTCTTGCTATACTATATTTGCACTAGTTTGTCATCATGCAGTGCCCTGGGTAGACTTGATTAACAACAGCTGTGCCAATAGGTACAAAGCTGAGCTAGAGGTTTGAATCAAACAAGCCTTGCTGCTGCATGAAATGCCACGGTGCGAGGAAATGGAGGGAGAGAGAGAGAGCACATTTTAAATTTTAGCCTAACCTCCACCTTAGTTGGGAAAGACAGGCTTCCTGCACAGGTGGGCAGAGGCTTCTAACTGAGCAGAGGCGGCTGCAGTGCCAAATACATGCCAGGTTGCATCTGTCCGAGGGAAAGTGGGATTGGGGTGGGGCATAAGGGACTTTTGACAGTGAGGATGAGTCTGCGTCAGGCAGCAGACTTTACATGCCGGTTGGAGCTGGTGGAAGAAGAATGGCCTGGGCTTGGGCCTTAGCTTGGAATTATACCAGTGTTGGAGCTAAGAGGGGCATCAGGGGGGCTTCTGCGTCCTGTGTATTTCAGAGCGGGAGGGGTGATGTGGTAGCAGTGGAATGCCTGGATTTGTGTCTGGACTGTAAGAGTTGAGGGAGTTGATGGGAGATAGGAAATGGATGGGCAGTGGAGGGCAAGGTGGCAAGGTAGAAACCCAGTGGGCACAAGGGCCCTTGATCTCATGTCTCATAGCTGATCAAGTGGAGAGGGAGTGGAGGGTGGAGCTGTTCTTCTTTGGGCCTCCATTTGAGATGCTCCGACTGAGATAGGTGGATTGGGCTGTTGCAAAAGAGGAGAGAGGCCAAAGCAGAGTGAATCCAAATGGAGCTGGTGGGAGTTTGCAAGCGGAGTGAGCAGGAGGATTGCTATTGTTACTGTAATTGTTGTTAGAGTTGTTATTCGCCCCTCAACAGAAAGACCTAGGGTGGAGTATTGTGGACAAGCTGTCTTTGTCCAAAAAAAGGGTAGTATCCGGCAAATCAGCTGGAGCAATCCTAGCCAGTGAGGCCACAAGCCTCCAATGACAAGATTGAATCCAGGAGCACCTCCAAGCTGTGGCCCTGCTCCTTCTGGGATATGCAACCCTCTTTAGGACAGGCCAACTTCCCACTTTCTGGAATTGGGAATATGGAGAGAGGGGGAGGTAGTCTCTCTTTTGAGAAACAACAGGACAGTGTTGTCTTGGTGAGAGACTCATGTGTAGACACCCCTCCCCCCCCCCCAATTTATCTAACTTTCCCCGCTCTAGGACCCAAGGCAGTGTCTGCTGCTGCAGATATCTTGTAAGCCCCTTGAAATAATTGATAAAAGCTGGTATATAAATGTTTGAATACATTAATGACATATTACCCAGCTGAATGAGGGAGGGCAGTTTTATGAGGATGGGTAGAAGGGTGGGAAGCTTGGGGTCATTCTAACACCCTGCTATTTTACTGAAAGACTAGCGGGGGCTCCTCTCTGTTCTCTTCTGGGATAGCCATACACACACATTACAGAGCTGAATGATCCTCTTCAGCTGCACTACAGCTTTCCATTTAATTGCTTTTGTGCACAATTCTTAGACATGACAGGAGACAAAACACAGTTTATCCAATGGACATGTCATACCTCTTGAAATCTTTGCTACCTCTTCCTCCCAGGAAAGATACACTATAATTAGAAAGCTGTTTACTCCCTCCTGGCACTGCTTATGTTTCTTGGGGGTTGCTTTTCGCAGGAAGCTGGGGGGAGCAGCACTGCTCCATGCAGAGCACATGTTGTGGAACGTGCTGTGTGTGACAACCACCATTAACATGGTGCAACACAAGCTCCTCTTCATGAAAGAGAGAGGGGGGGGAGGGGGGAAGAGGACAGGGTTTCCCCTTTCTCATGCCTTCCTTTCGTATCTGCAGCCAATCCATCTTGGGATGCTAGTAAAATTAGTCTTCTCCGCCCTCAGTTTCTGCACAGGCTGCGGAAGGGAGCTTTAGCCTGGTCTTGCATGTACGTCTTATGCTGGTTTGAAACCCTGTGAGACCTAATGCAGATAATGTAAAAAAAAAAAACCTGGATGAAAACCCTCTTAAAATTAGGAAGCGAGGGCAGAAGGGGAATCTGTCAGGAGGCAATTTCTGAAGAAGCGAAACCAAGTAAAAGTTGCTGGACACCAAGTTGGCAAAGGCTGCAGTAAGGGATACTTCCAAATGAACATGGGCGGGATTGAATGGCGCATTATTATCATTACGAACATCCTGCAATGCCAAGGGTGCAAAAAAAGAACAAGAATTCCGAACTGACCTGTCTTGTCTGATAAACTGAATGGGCCTCTGCTCTTCCCTCCCAGACCTCCCCTCACTTCCTTCCAAACAATGAAAACAATAGCTGCACAATAGCTGAATGTGGCTTCACTCAATTTGCAGAAGGTTTCAGTTAGGCTTAACTTGGGTAGGGGCTGCTGGTTTTGCCTAAAGGCTTGTGCATGAATGTATCTGGGAGATTACCGGTATATGTGTGTGTATATGTCAGTTCTAGAGTTTGGGTAATTTAAATTCACAAGGCATGATTCCACCACACTGTATTTCTACAAGCGGCTTTTTGAATGAGAGTCTTAGGAAATCTGCAAAGCTGTCTTGTAACTCCCATTGGCTGCCAAATGCTAAACACAGCTTTTGTTTTTGGTGGTTAAATGTCACACAGACAATAGCTGGGCTGTGAGCACCAAGGCTCATGTGCCACCACAACAGATTATATGCCAAATGTAACAGTGCGGCTCAACACTTGCATTGTATAAGCCACGGGAAGACTGGGAGAATTTGCTCAAAAAGTGATGCTCAGTCATTAAGAAACAATTTCTCCCCCCTCTGTGGATTTAGGTAGCCAACTAACCTTGGGTTCATCTTCCCCCACATTTTCTTCAGGTTTTGTTTTCTTCAGGTTTTGGTCAGCTTGCATTTTAAACAAATGTTTGCACCTTAGTGTTTTAAAGAGCTTCACACTAATTTGGGGCAAGAGGATTCAAAATAACCAGAAGAGAGAAATGATTAAGCATTATGAATAGATAATGCAGAAGATGTATAACCTGTGTGTGCGCCCACACATGCGCAAGTTCCTCGATTCAATCCCTGGCATCTTGTAGCAGGTATAGGGAAATACCTTTCTCTGTGATCGTGGGCACCAACAAACAGGCAAAAACAGACACAATGTTATTGTGGCATTGGAAAGAACCATTTAGTCAAACAGCCAGAAGGCTGTTTTCTGCCTAAAAGACCAACCCCCCCCCCCAAAGTTCATGGACAATCCTGTCTTCTTAGCATATCTCTAGTTGAAACGCGCCAGCCCATCCTGTGTTCATATCTGAGCACCTTCCATTTCCTGTATACCACTGGGACAGAGGTTCTCTTCCTCATCACACAGTGTTTCCAATCTAAATAATGCTTTTCTATTGAGCCCCTAGAAATGAAGCACAAGTAGATTTAGGACCATTAGATAAGCGATGGGGATCAGCAGTTGATTGAAAACAGCCCCACACAGTTGTTCTATAACAAGGATGCCTTGCTCAATTCCCTCTATCCCTGCAACCCAACCATTTCAGTAGAGACTTCTGGGGGATCAGTAAGTCACACAAACACTGAGTAGTCCTGTGTTCAAAGGTGAGAAGGAAAAAAATGGCTTCTTTCCATATGGGCCTCCCATCATAAGCCTCCAAGGCCTAATCGATGGTGGCCCATGGGTCCTTTCTGAGCGATAAATAAATAATATATTTCCAGGCCGAGATTTGCTGTGTTGGAAGTTTTGGTCCAGGGAGACTTTGCGCAGCTGGAGTTGTAAATGTCTGGAAATGGGTTTATAGTGCACTCAGTGCCGATTAGATCCTGGAGTGCAGTAATGAAAGTAGGTGCCATTATAGTAATAATACCCAAAAAGAAACCTCCAGTGTATTTCACAGCTGTTTTCTATTGTTCCTTATTTCAAAACCTGCAATTAATTGCATGGAAGGAAGGGGATCAAACATACAATACGTATAGAAGGGGGAAAGAGCAGGGGCCGAAGAGGGAAATTGGACTGTT